GCGATTAAAAGCAGGTGAACCCATCGGATCCAAACAGATTGCAGCTGATCCCAAAATTGTGGCTATGGCAAATGAGATGACCCCAGGAGAAAAGAGAGCCACAAATCCCACATGCCTAATCAAAAAGGCGCTTTATGGATTACGGCAATCAGGTTTGCGCTGGTACTGCAAGCTCACCGAAAAACTTAAAGAAATTGGATGCGAGCCAACGAAACAGGATCCATGTTTTTTCGCAAAGAGAGAAGGGCAGAAAATTTTGTTTATCACTATTTATGTCGACGATTTATTGTTAGCCACAAATCACCCAAAATGGCTTATTCAAGAGAAAGATCATTTAAATGAAGAATATTGGTCCTGTTAAAAACTGTTTGGGTATTGAATTTGATCAAAACTTGCAAAAGCGTACTGTTTCAATGTCCAGCAAAAGTACATTGATATAACTTTGAAAAGATTCGGAATGGTTGATTGCAAACCTGCTGCAACTCCAATCGCGGCGAAGTGCTCACTTAAACGACCGGAACAACCCAACGAAAATGAAATGGAAAGGTATATATGTGGGAAAAGAAAGGAAAACAAGAAGTGGTCATGTCTACAACTGTTCTGCATAAACATATTAGATTTATTTTAGTTTATTTACGTTGGTTTTTTTATCGACCTTGTAAACAATAATTGTAGTGTTATTGAATTACTCGAGGTCATACGTTGGTTATATTTTAATTTCTTCTATAACACAACGATGTATTCCCTTAACTTTCCCTGGGGAGTGAACCCGACTATGATAGGACTAGCTAGTTTCGTCTGCACGTCACCTCAGACTCATCAGCTATCTACGGGGATGGAAGCAGAGCGTCAGAAACTCCCCAATGTTACGATCAGATTTACGTTAACATTATCTTTACATTATTTTAAATCTGTTTACGTAAGCTTATCATTGGCAAGTCTGTCGATATTAGAATATCGATATTGCACGAAAAGAATCGTGGCACGAAGTATTCGCTTTTGCTTTCTGTGTTTCCGGGAGAGAAGATGTAAAACCACAAATCCCTTTGTTTTTCCATTTCAAATAAAATCATTAAATTATATTTGGAGTTGTAATTGAACCAATCACCGGCGATCCTCCAAATTGGTGTCAGAAGTGGGATTTACTTCGAAAAACTTTGATATATATGTAGGATCGCCGGTGATTGGTTCAATTTCAACCAGATCGACGAAAACCGTACGCCAGTCATGAGAGAGAGCGAGAGGCAAACAGCTGGCGTTCACTTTTCGTCGGGCCTTTTTTTCGCGTCGGTCCCCTGATCGAGGAAAAAAATACCAGAAAATTCCATAGCGTTGCCAGTCTGCGGAAAAGAACTTTGGGTGAGCCCTATCGAAAAGATTAAAAAATTATGAACATTTTAAGAAATGGAGCGAAAAACTCAAAAAACTCACAAAAGTCGATTGAAGGTGTTTACATGTAAGGACAAAATAACATTAATACTATTTGGGGTGCCTCTTGTCAGAGCAAAATGTTTTTTAGGTCCAGAATGTACGAAAAAACACAATAAAAGTGCAGCTATGAACTTTAAATTAGCAAATAATTATCAGTAAATTAAAAAAAACAACTGTTAAATTTAAATTGTATTGTTTTTTAATTTCTTTGTACACCGGCAGACTTGTCTTGCCAAGGTATTTGATAATATCTTTTAAAGGCTCTTTCCCGCAAATACGATATTTGAATTTTAACTGCTTGTCAACAAACCCAGCTGATTGACAGTACGACCGTAGCACGCTTAAATCTAATAAACTTTCAAAATTTTGGTCACACTGGAAAGATTAAAGTTTTTACGCTCGCGTAATCGTTTGTCGATCTGGAAACTAGGCTTTATGCAGAACAGTTGTAGACATGACCACTTCTTGTTTTCCTTTCTTTTCCCACAATCGGCCATCCTGAATTATCATTCGACTCGAATGATGGTTCTTCTGCAGATTCAGATTGAGGACTCCATTTCTTCATATATTCAGCAACGGTTGATGTTTTCCCTGGGCCTTCATGGTCACCAACTTTTTCCACAACATATCTGCCGTGGGGCAAAGTCCTGACTATTTTGTAAGGTCCAAAGAACTTTTGTTTCAACTTTAAGCCGGTGCCGTACTGCGTGCGCTTTATAGCTACGAGCTCGTTTAATTTGTAATGTAACTCCTTCTTACGCGTCTTGTTGAAGGATCTACGATTCTCCTGTTGAATTTTGGCAATGTTATCCTGCGCTTCCATACGAACAGTTTCTCTTTCCTGGTCTAGCTCTTCAATAGCGGCGGCTTCAAGGAACATGTTCAGCTCTGTTACTTTGTTAGTTCCCATTTCAACGCCTGTCAGTATCTTAAAAGGTGAGAATCTCGTGCTTCTTGGGGGTGTACTGTTCATTACTTGTTGTACAACTTCTAAATGTTTATACCAACTACACGGTTTTTCCTGACAAAGCTTGGCTAACATCGGAATCACGATCTAATGGATCCGCTCCACTTAACCATTTCCTCGGGAAACTCCGGTGGTAATCATCAAATGCTGAATGCCGTTCTGGTCGCAGTATTGTTTAAATGTATTTGCAACAAATGCAGCCCCTCTGTCTGAAATTATGCGCCTAGGGTTTCCAAAAACTGCCGCTTGACGAGTAAGTCGATCGATAACTCCTTCAGCCGTTGTAGTTTTTGTCGGGTGGAGCCAGACGAACTTAGAGAACGCATCGATCACCACGAGAATGTAATTATAGTTCTTGCCGGTCTGCTCCATTGGACCTACATGGTCAACGTTATATGTTTCCAACGACTTATTGGCTTTGTTAATAGGTGTTAAGAAACCTTCCTTTCTGCCTGCCTTGCTCTCAGAAACAATACATTCGACGCAGCTTTTTACCACTCTAACTACTTTCTTCGACAAGTTCGGTATGTAAAACGTCTTCTCAACAGCTTCCTTTGTTCTTTTTACTGAGAAATGTCCTTGCTTATGGGCCATACGAATGATTTCCTCTTCCATCAGACTCGGCACCACGATCAACTCTTTGACAGGATCCTTGTATAAAATACCATACCTAACGAAAAAGTCATCGTAAGTGCTGTTTTCGAGGGCGGCCATTACTGCGCGAACCCATTCATCCTGCTGCTGTGCTTCCTGCAAAGTCCTGGCCTGATATAATATATATATATACCTTCGATGAAGTACTCTATAAGACTGGCGTCATCCAGATAGAGATACTCCTTGTAATCCTCTTTTGGACCCTTTCGGCGATTTTTTAACATTCGGTGAACTTCAATTGCCGAAACCTCAGATCCGAACTCAGCTACTAATGCTCGCTTTAGAGATGACCAGTTGGAAATGCCTGACTGGCTTCGAACGAATATTTTCGCAGATCTTTTTAGCAATTGCTTCGAATAGATGAACATTTGAAGACTATTCCATTGGACTGCTGCTGCATTATCTTCAAACTCCTGGATCCAGCTGTGAACAGACGGCTGGCTCGTTCCATTGAACTGAGAAACAGAGTCCTCTATGTCGCGTAATGTAAATGAACTGCGACCTTCGCCTGGTGTAGATCTTGAACTGTGCATCGTCGTCGCATCCCCGTACTCAGACTCCTCATCCTCGATTTCCTCAGCTGCTATGTTGTAGTGGTCAAGAAGTCTGTCCTGCAATGTCTGCTTCCTACCGCTTGCAGCTAAATTAAGCTGTGACAATTGCTCTTTCAATGCGTTTACGTTTAGCGACAAAATTTCTGCCCTCTGCATTCTGTACTCATTATTGCTCTCTGTTTACAAAATTTGACAGATTAAAACGAATTTTTGAACTTAACTTAGTGGTTAGGTAATACAATGAATTTTGATTAAATATAATAGTTGAAAAATATTGATACAGTTCGCTCACTCTCCACTTCTGCAAAAAACGCACACACTGAGCTCACGCTTATTGAATCGGGTCTTCCTTCCTTCTTTGACACGACACACCCTGTGCCTACGCTGACGCTGTTTCTCCAGGCTTATTCACCAGAATTCCGCTTTCCCTAAGCCAAGTTTCGATGTCTCCTTCCTCCTTGCAGGACCTTTGCGCACGATGCGCACCTTGCTACACCTCTCAGGTGTACACGATCTGCCAGTGAACTGCTCTGCGTAAAACGCCTCCTCGATGAACAATGCTGCTGCGCAATTACACACACTCAGACTTTAGTGAATCTTTGTGCCACGTTCGCTTAAAAAACAATACAATTTAAATTTAACAGTTGTTTTTTTTAATTTACTGATAATTATTTGCTAATTTAAAGTTCATAGCTGCACATTTATTGTGTTTTTTCGTACATTCTGGACCTAAAAAACATTTTGCTCTGACAAGAGGCACCCCAAATAGTATTAATGTTATTTTGTCCTCACATGTAAACACCTTCAATCGACTTTTGTGAGTTTTTTGAGTTTTTCGCTCCATTTCTTATAATGTTCAGTGAGAAGCGCACGCCAAAAGATTAAATTTTTTAATCTTTTCGATAGGGTTCACCCAAAGTTCATTTCCGCAGACTGGCAAGGCTATGCAATTTTCTGGTATTTTTTTCCTCGATCAGGGGACCGACGTGAAAAAAAGGCCCAACGAAAAGTGAACGCCAGCTGTTTGCCTCTCGCTCTCTCTGATGACTGGCGTACGGTTTTCGTCGATCTGGATACTAGGCTTAAACATATTAGATTTATTTTAGTTTATTTACGTTAACATTATCTTTACATTATTTTAAATCTGTTGACGTAAGCTTATCATTGGCAAGTCTGTCGATATTAGAATATCGATACTGCACGAAAAGAACGTGGCACGAAGTATTCGCTTTTGCTTTCTGTGTTTCCGGGAGAGAAGATGTAAAACCACAAATCCCTTTGTTTTTCCATTTCAAATAAAATCATTAAATTATATTTGGAGTTGTAATTGAACCAATCACCGGCGATCCTACATATATATCAAAGTTTAATTGGCACTTTAATGTTTATTTCAGTTATGACTCGACCAGACATCGCCTACGCCGTGAACTTCTTAAGTCAGTTCAACTCGAGCTACGATGCAAACCACTGGAAAGCAGCTAAGCGAGTTCTTCGATATCTACGCAGATCGGAAACCTGGGACTACTTTTTCAAGGCTCAAGCGAAGATTTGTATGGCGTTGTCGACGCAGACTGAACGCGCAAACTTAACCGATCGGCGCTCATACTCAGGCCAGGCGTTCATCCTAGCAGGTGCGGCTGTGAGCTGGGAGGCACGCAAGCAAAGGACCGTGGCACTATCCAGCACGGAGTCTGAATATCTGGCAATGTCTAGCGCAGCCAAGGAAGCTGTGTATTTAAAGGCACTTCTAAATAGTCTAGGCTGGACCTGCGAGACTGTCAAAATTTTTAACGACAACCAAATCGCTCAGAGCTTGGTCAAAGGTTTCGGTTTCCATCCACGCAGGAAACAAATAGACGTACGTCATCATTTTATACAGGATATGTACAAGAGTGGTGACATCGATATAGAGTATATGCAAACCGATAAGATGCCAGCTGATGTCATGACCAAAGGGCTTAATAGTTTCAAGCATTCGAATTGTATTTCTTGGCTCGGCATCACTTGTATCAATTAATTTATAAATGGTTACTTTCAGGGCGCGTGTTGTAATTTGGAGTATTATTTACAAAGTAACAAACTGGTCACATCACTCACACTAAAACGACTTCGACATTGTACTTCACCGTGAAAAGAAGAGACACGGCTTACTAGCAAATATAGTTATAATTTCCTATGAACTTAACGTTCACTCGTGGCGTTATTATTTCGAAACAGATTTACTGGGGGTAATTCACGCAAGGAATTCCACAAATTCTCACAAATTGTGTTTAAAATTTCAAAACGATTCGTCCAGCACATTTTGCAGGATCGTGTTCACCGACCTTAAAATGGCAGCTTTTCCGGAAAGCGTTTTAAAGTTTTGGACACCCAAAAATCGAATACAAGTTTTACTCGGATCAAACTAAAATTTTAACGCAATATTCCCTTAAATGTTGTGCATTCAGAAAAAAAATAAAAAAAAAGGCAAAAAAGAAATTTAAATACCATAACTCCTCTTAAAGCTAATAATTATAATAGAAATACAAATGGAACATATACAACTTTAAATATTTTAACAGATATAGACTACACAGTCTGGACAATATATTTAGATCAAAACCCAATGAAATTGACATAACATCATTTTTATTCTTGTAATAAATATTGTAGTCGATACTTATTAATTATTTTAGCTTATGGATATACTTTTTAAAACTAACATGGATTTATTTATTAGGTAAATTTAAAAAATGTAAATTATATTAAGCATAGTCGGACATTTTTAATTTGACGCGAATGGAAAGATGTAAAGACGAATTGGGCAAAGGAAAGAACAATAGGATTCGAAGTTGATTTCGCGGTTTTTACATGCACTTTCATTGATTACCGCAGAGAACGGATCAATATTTAATTATTGAAAGTGTTTAGCACATGACAATTTAAACATTTAAACTATCAAATGCTCGCCCCTTGGCACTTAAAAACAAAACAAATATTTTATCGCAGAAACTAATATTAAAATAAGCAACAACGAATTAATAACACACCTTTTGTATATTGGCAGAATGTTATAAGGTTGGAGAAATGTAATTTTATCTGTTTAATATAAATAAAACTTCACCTTGTAGGGGAAAAAATAGCAGCAAATTATAAAATTATTTTTGTTTCTGTAATAAATTTGTAATAAATGGAAAGATTAATGAAGTTTTTAACACATTATTTACTGATGAAAACGCGTTGAATTCCAGATGAAATTAACTGATGAAATTATGATGAATTGGCAGGTAAAATGCGATGAATTACTGATGAAAATTGATGATTATTAACTGATGGAAATGAAATGAATGAATGAAAATGATACAAAAGCGATGAATTGCTGATGAAAACGCTATGAACTTCCGATGAAAATGTGATGAACTACTGATAAAATTGTGATAAAATACTGATGAAAATGTGATGAATTACTTATTAAAATGCGATGAATTTTCACCAAATTATTTTTACTGATTATTATTTAGTTAGTTAAAGTTTATAGCTGAGATTTTTTCGTCGATCTGAGTTCCGGGGTGAAAAAAGGACCTGACGAAAGTCACTGGCAAAGACACTGGACAAGACATTTTTTTTAACGTTCAGGATAAATTTCTGACTAAGTGCCTTTTATATTAATCCTTTCGTATTTTAGTAAAAATATTTTTTTTTTATATTTTGGGAGATTTTTATTTCATATTTGTTTTTTAGAATACAGTCGTTTTTTCGAGTCTGTGTTCGTAAAAGATTTTTTTCAACAGTGAACTAATTAGTTTTAAAACATTTGAAAAAAATGGTAGAAAAAGGCCGAAACGTTTTGAAAAACAGAATAACGTGTGTAAAGTAGCTGCAAAAATTTTAATCAACGAAAAATGAACAAATGGGAAATTACCAATTTGAGAGGCACCACGTTGTTTTTTTTCAAAACAATTTTGTTGTGCTTTCATTTTCCTACAATTTTACCTATGCAAAAACATTTTTCCCCTATATCCTCTTTAAAATACGAAAAAGATTTCGAAGTTGCGCAGAAACTTTTACTATGACAACAACATAGGGGCAACTTATAAAAAGAAATGATGCAGAATTTATAGTTTCGATAACAAATTTTAGGAAATTATCTCAAAACGTTGTCCTTTTGTTGTGACCTGATAAATGTCGCATTGTGTAATTTACTTAAATAATCTCAAGAACTTAAATAAAGATTAACCCATTGAGTCATGCAAAGAGAACGCCGTTCTCTGCAGCAGTTCATGAGTTATGCATTCGATTACTATTTCGGTCTAATGCAATCGAGTGCAAGCGAACTCAAAGCGCTCGAAGAGCAGGTTACCGGCTTATGAATCAATTGTATGGGATCATTGTCTGATTCGTTCACCAGCTTGACTGCCCGCCTTGGTGTCATGACGCAGCAATTGATTTCTCTGATATTTATTATGTTAGGTTAGCTCAAAACCAAAGGCATTCTATTTCTCTCTGCCGCAGAAAATCTGTCTCTGTATACTACAACCTCTTCCGTTAAGCGATCTTCCCATAAAAGCTTTGTGCTTGGTGCTGGGCTGTCAGTTTGTGTTTCACAGCGCGACAAGGCAAAACGGTTTCCTCTCGAATAAACGAATATTTGGGAAATAGCTGTGAGTGAATCTTGTGTAAAGTATCTCGAGTCAAATCCATTCAAAAGTTATCTGCGAAAAATACTTTTCTGGGCAGCCAAAATTCTATTTGAAAGTGAATAGCAGTGTAAGTCAGAAGATCTGTATGTTTTACGATGCTTTGCAAGGAACAGATCAAAATATATAGAATTTAAGAACATTTTTAAAAATAACAAGAAGCAAACTGCAGTGGCCCCAAATATATGTTCCAGAAATAAATACTACTAAATTTGGAAAAGGCATATGTGACCCATTTGAAGGGCCTAAAAAGTTCCACGTCGCCAAGTTCATTAGACTTATCAATATAAACCGGATGAAAATGGAATTCGGAGCACATACATAAAAATGTGGTCAAAAAAGAAACAAATAATACAGAACTGAGCAGTGAGTTTTTAATAAGTGAACGTTTTCATGGGCTGATACCGAGTAGTGCACGCATTAACCTTTGCCGACCCGCAGTCCAAAGCCGGTGCGATAATCTTGAGTTACGGTCTGAACTAGATTTGACATCCTCTCGTTATCAGCGCCTAAATATGTTTAGACTTTGCCTAAAAATAATTTATAATTTCTGCGGAGCCCTCATCTTGCTCGTTGAGTACTTACTTACTATTAATTATTGATACGTTTTAATGTTGCTTGCTATTATTGCTTTGCAGCGTGTCGCGGCATGAGGACTCTGGAAGTGCTCACGTTGCTTTTGGCGGCTGCCATAGGCCAGGGCTACGGCAGTTTTCAGCGGTCCAGTTTTATATCCAGCCCGTCATTATCCTACGGCGATGGAAAGTCCCCACAGTTGGTACCACAGCTTAATCCTTGGGCCTCTGCGCACTTTAACGAAGTGCGAGAGCTGGCTAACCATCTAAAGCAGAAATTCAACGTTCTTTCCCAGGGATCAACTAACTTTGGCTTCACATCATCGTGGAGTGGTAAGTTTTAATGTCTTAAAGAATGTATGAATATATATATATACAGATTCTTACTCTATGGTCATATTGAGGAGTAAACTATGTAAACTACCGCGCAATGGTAAATTAATAGTAAAAACCTGAAAGTTCAATGGTGCATAGTTTTTAGATTTTCAACCATTCAAGTTTAAGATAATTCATATATTTAACACTTAAAAGAAAGAAAAACAAGAAAGGAAAGCTAACTTCGGGCGGAGCCGAAGTTGATATACCCTTGTATATATTCTGTAAATTATATTAACCAAAATTATTCATATGATGCATTCTTAATACTCATACTTCTTTTGAATTTGACATATCAGCCTCTTTTATAATGCAAGGGAGTGACATTAACGGGCAGTAACGGTCATACAATAGCATAGATATAGTCGGCCGATCCTTATGAAATTTGGTAGGTCGGATTGATTGGCCAAAATTAAAACCCATAGAAAATCGCAACTTCCTAACTTTACAAACACCAAAGTTATGGCATTTCCGATCAATCAGTTAAATGGCAGCTTTAGGATATTGTCGGCCGATCCTTATAAAATTTGGTAGGTCGGATTGATTGGCCAAATATAAAACCTATATAAAATCCAAACTTCCTAACTTTACAAACACCAAAGTTATGGCACTTCGGATCGTCCAGTTATATGGCAGCTATTGGATATAGTCGACCGATCCCGATTCGACTTATATACTGCGTGCAAAGGAACGAAGGGTGTGTGCAAAGTTTCAATTCGATATCTTTAAAACTGAGAGACTAGTTTGCGTAGAAACAGACAGACAGACAGACGGACGTACTTATATCAACTCAGGACGAGATCCTGATCAAGAATATATATACTTTATAGGGTCGGAGATGTCTCCTTCACTGCGTTGCACACTTTTGACCAAAATTATAATACCCTCTGCAAGGGTATAAAAATGGCATTTACATTTTTCTTTATAATATAAAAGTATGCTTTTTGCTTCTAGATATTTTATGATTGATTATATCCGGATACGGATTAAGCTGTCTCCGTTATCATCTGCCTTTTAATTTATCAGCGTATTGTTTAGTGGAATACAATACTACATTTTTGTGTTTTTATGCATATATTTTTCAAGATTATGGTGCCGGAATTTTACTCTTTTTAAATTTCTTTAAGATTGATACAATCATATTGCGATGAGTAATACATTTCCTAAAATATTTAAACATGTCTAACATTATTTCGATGTCATAAGATCACTGAAAAGTCTGCCTTTATTATTTTAGTTTTTTATCATAAATTTTGGTATTACCCACCATATTTTGCAAGATTCTCGAAAAATCTTATTTGTATTTCTCTTTTCTTTGTCCTAGGCGGCAAGAACGGTACGCGCATTGTTACCACCCGTAATTAGCTGCTGTAAATAGCTGTCAATCTGAATTTATAAATATACAAATTGAATAATTTGTTTAGAATTTTATAAAATTATTGTTGTCAATAAAAGTGCAAAATTAATAAATAGCCAAATCAGTTAAAAACGGCAATATTCCCGGATGGCAGCTGGGTACAATATAGTTAAATTAGTAAAGCTGACCGTAGGTTTAAGCAATTTTGATTGTCCCAAACCAGCTTCTCCATTGAACATTTTTTAAATATTTTTGATGGACTGATAGTTCCGGTCTTTTGGGGAATGCCCAAGAAATCTTTCAAAGTGAAAAGCCCGATGCTAAATAATATATAAATTCAATTGACAATGAAAAGTATATTTATTTTTAAATTCCCTAACATTTTTTTCTACCGACTGCGACGTCAAACAACTGTCAAATCCATATGGTTAAATGTATATAGATATGATTAATTTCAACTCAAATCCAAATATATTAAAAAACAGTAACAAAAATGAATGAGTATTTTTAGTATTTAATCTAGTTATTTTACAGTACCCCAGCAAAAAGAAAAATCGGTATATACGTGTCAACTAACTTTATCGTATAACTCAAATCAGGTCCGGGAAAAATATGACCGATTGTCAAGTGAACGTGTAGGTTAGTCACACAGTATATAAATTAATTATTTCCCTATTTAGGTTTTATTTAAGACGTGCGGTACTGCGCGAATGAGAAGACTTGGGCTTAGAGAGACTATGCCCGTCACGATTTATTTCCAAAATTCAACTAAGTATATACATACATAAATCTAAAAAAAGAATTAAAAGAGAATTCACCAAAGAATGCAGTTCACTTCGACGACAAGGATCGAAAGGACCGAGAAATTATGTCTACGTCCTAAAATAGTTTATGCTTTTCAGTTAAAAAGGCAAGGCGCTCAGTATTTTTTTGCATATGTAACTTTCTAAAATAAACAAAAACAAGAAAGGAAGCAAACTTCGGCTTGCCGAACTGCCCCTGCAGTTATTACAAAACGACTACATTTCGATTTTTATGCCTACTTATATTACCAAAAACAATAGGCTATCTCGATTTAGCGCTGCATTTTGCCATCGTTTCTATGGCAGCTATATGATATTGTTGTCCGATTTTGACGAAACTAAAAGCGTAATTCTGATATACTATTATTACTATATTTCAAAAGAATATTTTGATACATTGAAAAACAGCAAAATAAAATGTTTTTCATCCTCTATTTTTATCAATTCTTTGATTTTCCTATGGAAGCTATGATATACATAGATCTCCGATTTTAATTAAATTAAAAACGTAATTCCATAGTATTTAAATATTACCTAATCCCAAAGAACAAAACAAAAAAATAAAAAACAACAAAGTTATATATTTAAAATTATTTATTCTTATGTTCCTTTGGTATATATGATATAGTCGCCCGATCCGGCTCGTTCCGACTTATGTATATACTACCTGCAATGGAAAGACAACTTTTGTGAAAGTTTTAAGCAGATACCTTTAAAACTGAAAAACTAGTTTGCATAGAAACGGACGGGCGGACATGGCTAGATCGACTCTCCTGGTGATGCTGATATACTTTATAGGGTCGGAAATGTCTCCTTTACAGCGTTGCAAACTTTTGACTGAAATTATAATACCCTCTGCTATAAAAAAACAGGAAGAATTCGCTACAACTTGCTGTTGTATACAACTTGATTAGTCTGCTGTATATAAATAAAATTCTGTTTGTCTACAAGTTTTTACATTTAAAGAATTAATTTAAAGAAACCGGGAATAGTAATTAATTTTAAATAGCTGTTAGCTTTGAACACGATCTGCGAAAGACGATGCAATTTTTCAAAATTGTTCAAAATTGTTTCAATTGTTCGAACTGGTATTTAAAATGGAAGAAAATTAGTTGATTAGTTGATTTTAAATTCCTCTAAACTCCGCCTACTGTAATGCGATTTTTAAAATACTGTGGTACAATTATTTTTTAATTTTCCAGGAATATTACTTAGCAAACCTATGTATGTACACGGTATTTAGAAACACTCTCTTTGAAGGACTCTATTTCTAAATTAATTGTTCCTTTCCTTTTTGTATGTGCTAACTCAGACACTGTTGAGCGATTTTCTCAAATATCCGTGAAGAAACGTCCTTTAACACGGCCTGTGAGTGAATATATTGCTTAAATTGGAAAGGCTTTGTAGATAATTGTTGTACCCACATTAGGATAATTTTGTCTTGCAACGCGCCGATAAATTTTAAAATGGTTTTTTAATTTACAAAATGCATAATAATATTAGCCTGGAGTTATGGATTCTTCATTAAGAACAAGAAAGGAAAGCTAACTTCGGGCGGAGCCGAAGTTGAAATACCCTTGCAGAATATTCTGCAAATTATATTCTCCAAAATTATTCATATGATGCATTCTTAATACTCATAAAAAATCCCAACTTCCTAACTTTAAAAACACCAAAGTTATGGCATTTCCAATCGTTCAGTTATGTATATGGCAGCTATAGAATATTGTCGGCCGATCCTTATGAAATTTGATATGTCGGATTGATTGGGCAAAAATAAAACCCATAGAAAATCCCAACTTCCTAACTTAACAAACACCAAAGTTATGGCATTTCCGATCAATCAGTTATATAGCAGCTATAGGATATAGTCGGCCGATCCTTATGAAATTTGGTACGTCGGATTGATTGGCCTAATATAATACTCATAGAGAGTCCCAACTTCCTAACTTAACAAACAGCAGAGTTATGGCATTTCCGATCAATCAGTTATATGGCAGCTATAAGATATAGTCGTCCGATCCTTATGAAATTTGGTACGTCGGATTGATTGGCCAAATATAATACTCATAGAGAGTCCCAACTTATTAACTTAACAAACAGCAGAGTTATGGCATTTCCGATCAATCAGTTATTTGGCAGCTATAGGATATAGTCGGCCGATCCCGGCCGTTCCGACTTATATACTGCGTGCAAAGGAAAGAAGGGTGTGTGCAAAGTTTCAATTCGATATCTTTAAAACTGAGAGACTAGTTCGCGTAGAAACAGACAGACGGACAGACAGACGGACAGACAGACGGACAGACAGACGGACAGACAGACGGACAGACGGACATGGCTATATCAACTCATGAGGTGATCCTGATCAAGAATATATATACTGTATAGGGTCGGAGATGTCTCCTTCACTGCGTTGCACACTTTTGACCAAAATTATAATACCCTCTGCAAGGGTATAAAAATAAATAAGCTAAAATTTAAAAGCGGCAAATTAAATTATTATTATTGTGCAATATACCTGAAAGTTGAAATTGAGTTATGCATCGGAGCACTCCGGTTACCGCCTGGATAGAAAATCGTGGTGACAGCTAATATCACTGTCACTGCCGACGGCTTGGCAAAAGTTTTGATATTTGGTTCTTTGCTTACATCTGTGCCTGACATAGTAAATTTATTATGTACATACGATATTTTTAGCTTCGGTATATATTATTCTTATTTTAATAGACAGCGAAGTTTATTTGGTTCTTTACAGTTATATTCCCAATGTTAAACCGGTGACAGCGACGCGAGTAGCG